TTTAGTGTTAAAAGTGTTCTGACAAGTGTTTCTTATGTAACTTTTTATGCTGAATCCAAAAAACTATGTTGGCAAGCTGAAATATGATTATTTAACCCTTAAAATACCATGTTAGTCCCCCTACCCCCAAAATTCACCCCTATCAGGGGGAAAAAATTCGTCAACCTAAAATAACTTTGATTTTATGGTTTTTGTAAGTGAAATACATGGACATTGTATAAAATAAACATTTAAAGTATGAATGATATGGATTACACTTAAGAAATTTGAATAAAAGCAAAAAGTATGTACCCCAGGGGGCAAATTTATGACCCATTTTTTACTTTTCGTGTCATAACTTTTTTATTAGACAATGATGGATGCTAAAAAAATCCATGTAAAAGGCTTAATACCTGGTCTACTAATCCCGCAAGAATAAAAGTAATTCCTTTGATAATTGCCTTGAAAAAAATTAGTGAATTTAAGAAAAAATGACATTTTAGCTGGGACTGATTTTATGTGTGACTATAACTGACCCCTATTGCTTTAACATTTATCCCTCTGTGTTCATATATTTGGCATTTTAGAATAAATCTAAAATATAAAACTTATTTTAGCTAAGTTTTAGGAAGATTTAAGCTTTTTAGCATGTTCAAATATTAAAAATTCATGAAATATGATGTCTAAAATTGATAAGTTATAGGTGTACCCTTGGAAGACCCCTATAATTTCTATTTTGTTATTTATGAACATATTTGTACCAATATTAGTTTTCTAGCTTAGACAAATAATGTATGATATATCCTGGCTTGGCTTTCTGGTGGTTTGAACAATCTTAGGTGTTATCATTGAAAATTCATTCTTAAATCATAGGTCTGCAATCGATTAAATTCAAGTATACAATTAGCCTAGTATCATTCTACTGGTACAGGGTGTCCAAAAAACAGGACCGAAGAAAAGTTAATTAACTTTGTCAATCCTGCATATTCTGCCTCAAAACTTCAGAATTATTCAGTTCATTCAATATAAATTTTGTTGTGAAAGTTTCATGATAATCTGCCTGTGGAGTCAAAAACTACAGCACTTTACAACATATGTCCAATGTGGCCACTTCTCCTCTACATGCACAATCAAATCTGGCGAAGGAAGTTGTTCAATTGTCCATGGCGTGACTAAAATCTATCTAGAGAAGTAAAACTAGTGTCAGACAAATTCTCAGATGTTCTTCAATTTTGAGTGGATAGCTTCATCAGAAGCTTTGCAATCCATGTTGGTATGTGTAGGAGAGTCATCAACAGCTTCGTTGGCTGGAGTGGTGGCCACATGGGGCATGTGTTGTAAAATGCTGTAGTTTTTTACTTTATAAGCAGATTATCATTAAATGTTCACAACAAAATTTACATTAAATGAAGTAAATAATTCTGAAATATTAAAGCAAAATATGCAAGATTGCCAAAAATAATCAACTTGAACAAGCTATGATTTCATAGATTAGTTTGATGTATGACATATTCCGAGCTGACTCTCTGTTTATTTAAACCATCTAAGAGGCTTAATCATTGAAAATCATTGCAAATAAAGGTCTAAACAGACAGTATTAAGGTTCACTATTAGAATACCCTATTATTATTTCCAGGCTTAGAGTTTATTACTGTTTCATAGCTCGGAGGTTTAATATATGATATATCCTGACTAGTTTTTCTGCAGATTTGAACCAATGACAGGTCTAATCATTGATTATACTTCATATAATAGGTCTAAAATTGAAGTATTCAATAGAACCCTCTATGAAAATTCAAAAAAAGATTTAAAATGACATTAACCTCAACATTAGATCTGAATAAGGATTAAAATCCTTCATAGAGCTGAACATAGAGCTGAACAGCTGAACTTCATTCTGGTGTTGATACATGGACCTGGTCCAAATCTTGCTATACTTCCTCCAAGCCCAAAGAAAGGGAAATTAGGAGCTTCATCTCAATGCATTTCAATGCATGATCCCTTATTTCATGACCACCAAAATTATGGAAGGTGTGGCACAGTAAACTTAGAGGAAATGCACTAACTATTAGAATATAGTACATGCTGCAGTTGAGCGAGGATTCTTGCATTGAGACTATGTGGTGAAAGGCTCTACAAATTTAATCAACTTGAGTTGATTGACCCCTATGCCAGTATGCTATTGGTTAGAAGGGTGGCAGAATTGTAGGCATAACACAAAGACAATATCTGCATTGAACAGATGGGCACCGGGGTATAATCTTAGGTCACACATGGGGAGTCCAAACAAGAATGATGTTTGGACTTGCGTTTTGAGATTCCATAGAGGGGGGGGGTGGTAATTTGCAAATCAAAACAAGAATCTATGGAAGAAGATAAAATATGTGACATGCTGCTGAAGTTTGGCATGTTTTCAATTGATCCATTACTTAATCTCCAAAGTATATGTACAAAAGATGTACTAACAGAAACAATCAACAGGCTCGACAGTTTGGCCAACAACAACTGGATGTCTTTGTGTCTTAGAGGTTGATACCAACAGGGTCAAATGAAAGACACAACATTTCTTGATCTACTGAGCAAACACCAACATTTTTTAAACTATATGCCTAATCCCAATATAAACGAGCAGAAAGTTGTTAAGGCAGACAGGAATGTTTTGCAGAATCTTATCACTGCATATGAAGCAAACCACAGACCTGTGGGCATCAATGAAATCATGAAACATGAGCTGATGTCTTTTCCAATAGCCCTCATTGACGAATGAAACATTCAAGCCAACTCAAATGTACTCTACTCCTTAACTGTTTAACAAATGGTATTGAAATGCCAACGGTAATATTTCCAATATATGATCCTTCTTACAAATTAGCATCAATTGCATCTACATCTGAGGATTTGGCTACAGTCTTCAAGGAAGCAACACTTCAGCAGTGATTGTATACTGTGCCCCATCTTGCATACTTTTGGTGGTCATATGTCATGAAAAAGGGGATCATGCATTGAAATACATTGAGATGAAGCTCCCAATTTCCCTTTCTTTGGGCTATGGTGAAGCGTATCAAGATTTGGACCATGTCCATGTATTACTACCAGAATGAAAGTAATCCTTGTCTTCCTTGTTCAGCTCTATGAAGGATTGTAATTCTGATTTACAAGAGTCATCTGAGATCACATCAATCAGTTGCTTTATTTGATTTCCAGATCCAATGTTGTGGTTAATGTCATTCTGAATCTTTTTTGAATTTCCCATATATGGTCCTATTGGATTTAAATTTCAAAAATTGCTACTCTGCAAAAACTCTCATTAACTGAAACATCCCACTGATTCAAAATGTTGTCAAAGTGAGTATACGCCATTTGTCAAGAATTTCTGCATTAACTCAGAGTAACACAGAAAGGTTAATGGGGACAGAGGGGGGGGGGATTTTTTAATATGACTAAACATTGTTCAGGGAAGAAAACTCCATAAAATGAAGATTTGTATGAATCATTGGTACTTTTGCTCTCACGTCACGTTTATCATAGAGGGTTCTATTGAATACTTCAATTTTAGACCTAGTATATTAGGTATATTCAATGATAAGACCTGTTAGGTGGTTCAAATCTGCAGAAAAACTAGTCAGAATATGTCATATATCAAACCTCCGAGCTATGAGACAGTAGTAGGTACCAATATACTCTAAGCCTGGAATTAATAAGGGTGTTCTAATAGTCTACCTTAATAATGTCCGTTTAGGCCTTTATTTGTAATGGTTTTCAATGATTAAGCCTCTTAGATGGTTAAAATCACCAGAAAGTCAGCTTGGAATATGTCATACATCAAACAACTAATCTATGAAATCATAGCTAGTTCAATTATGCTCATACCAGTAGAATGATACTAATGGTATACATGAATTTAATCGATTGCAGACCTATGATTTAAGAATGAATTTTCAATGATAACACTTAAAAGATTGTTCAAACCACCAGAAAGCCAAGCCAGGATATATCATACATCATTTCTCTAGGCTAGAAAACTGATATTGGTACAAATATGTTCATGAATAAGAAATTATAAGGGTCTTCCAAGGGTATACGTATAACTTATCAATTTTAGACATCATATTTCATGAATTTTTAATAGTTGAACATGATAAAAAGCTTAAATCTTCCTAAAACTTTGCTAAAATAAGTTTTATATTTCAGATTTATTCTAAAATGCTAAATATATGAACACAGAGGGATAAATGTTAAAGCAATAGGGGTCAGTTATAGTCACACATAAAATCAGTCCCAGCTAAAATGTCATTTTTTCTTAAATTCACTAATTTTTTTTCAAGGCAATTATCAAAGGAATTACTTTGATTCTTGCAGGATTAGTAGACCAGGTATTAAGCCTTTTACATGGATTTTTTTAGCATCCATCATTGTCTAATAAAAAAGTTATGACACGAAAAGTAAAAAATGGGTCATAAATTTGCCCCCTGGGGTACATACTTTTTGCTTTTATTCAAATTTCTTAAGGGTAATCCGTATCATTCATATTTCAAATGTTTATTTTATACAATGTCCATGTATTTCACTGACAAAAACCATAAAATCAAAGTTATTTTAGGTTGAAGAATTTTTTCCCCCTGATAGGGGTGAATTTTGGGGGTAGGGGGACTAACATGGTATTTTAAGGGTTAAATAATCATATTTCAGCTTGCCAACATGGTTTTTTGGATTCAGCATAAAAAGTTACATAAGAAACACTTGTCAGAACACTTTTAACACTAAACGCCTACCACATTTTACAGAGAGACCTTTTGCAGAGAAGCACCCGGTCTACTAAGTAAACACTGTAACTGAACGATTGTTTATGTGAGAAAACTACATGCATTTGTATAGGACGATTTATACGTACAAGTTGCGTACATACGTTTATATGCATTGCTTAACCTCTCCATTATCAAACTACCCGAACGAGTAGGTCATCCAGAACTTAGTAATCAGAACGAGTGACCACGTTTTTAAAGAACGCAGAACGATCTGGACACACGGCGAACTTCAATCCTACTAGAAACGTATTACAACGTTGTGCAGTCAGGCGTAAATTCAGGTCGTGAGTACACCAACCTGTTCCGTTTGCAGCTTAATTGACAAATAAAGCTATCACACCAAACAAGTTGTCACTGCGTTCTTTAAAACGTTGCCGAACTGGTTTTAAACTGTGTCCGAACTGGATGAACGTAGCTACAACTTTACGAACTTCATGGACTTGCCCGGACCGGGAATGTGATTAAGAATTTAGAATTATTCTCTTCTGGGGGCCTTGTTACTGTAGCCAATATTGGGACAACGGTATTGGAGTTAATGCCCGGATACGGCGAACAGACATAGGCCTACGTACGGACAGAAACAGGAATATTGTTTTCCTGTAAAATTGGTCAGTGTCAAGGCAGGCTTTTTTTCTTTTGGTCGGTCTTTTACATAGTGGTCGGTCTTTTACATATTTTTCAAACCCTGTTTTGAGGCTACCTATGGAAAACACCGACCGGTCGGTGGGGTCGGTCTTTTCCGTAAACCCTTATACTGAATGCCATAATCACTGTTCCACAACTAGTTACTTTGACGGAACGTCAATGAAACAAAATGGATGAACTTCCTGGTTACGAATTTTTCTCGGTTTAAAGCTATACTTATAAGTCAAGTTGCAGATTATAATTTGGCCCAAAGCTAGAAAATATAGCCTAGTTTTAATAAGTTTCTTCGATTTGGAATTTGTTTTGTAAATGAAGCTGTAATTCATATACTAAGCCCCTTGCTTTTGTTACATTGACGACAAGCCCGTTATATTACCAATGTATGTTACTTTGTCAATGGGGATTTAGCCCGACCATTTTTAGAAAACTTGAAAATCTCTAGAATTTGAATAAAGGTAAATAACAGTGCAAAAACTAAGTTGTTTTGATAGAAAATTACACACAGAATTCAAATAGAAGAAAATGTTAGTCTTTAGTGGTTAAAAATGCAGATCTCCTAAAATCTCATTAAAATGAGACCTTAACGAGATTTCAAAGCTATATGGAAAAGCCACTGTTAGATAGATGCCTTCACTAGGCTATTCTCTGTACTTGTGTCCGTGCCTCATTTTGAGTAGCGACTGTAAATTCTTTTCGGAAACATGATTATGTTTTCCCTGTAATATGAAATAAAGATATCTGACAAAATATGGATAGCCTAAAATATAAATTTTGTGTTTTTGAACATGCGGAAATATCTTGAACACTTTGAAACTGAAGTACAGTTCCTTAATAGGTCGTTCAGTTTTCTTGTTTTTGTTCTACACAACACTTGTGTTTAATAGCCACGCGTAATTATTAATAAGCGTAATCAGATTATTTCAAGCGTCGAAATAGCTTATTTTCCTCGACGTATCTACACAAACCTATTCACTTACCGTTATACAGGCCCGTAGCCAGAGGGGGAGCTGGGGGAGCGGAAGCTCCCCCCTGGCCAGAAATTCTTTCAAAATCATACAGTTTTTCACCATTCTGAGAATTTTTCGCATGATTTTTAGCCAAAATTGTGAAAAAGCTCCCCCCCTGGAGAAAAGCTCCCCCCCCCCCCTGGTAAAAGCTGGCTACGGGCAAGTTATATTGAGCGATCTAGATGCGTCAATTATAATTGTTTTCACTCATCGGCTTTCGTGGCCCGCGATACCTTTTATTTCATTCATTTGAGACGCAATTGATAAATTGGCAACAAATCAAATGTTCTAAATGATTCCTCTTCATTTTGGAATGTTTCTCCTACCCGATATTCAAAGATGTGTCTTAAATATTACTTTACATTGATCACGATTCTTGTACTTTCTGTCTTTACGACTCCCGTTCACATTTGCAAGAGTTGTTGATTGCATTGCCTTGATCGTTGGTCGAACTTCGATTCCAACTAAATCAGATTAATCAATTAAGAAATGTAATATCATGTTTATCCAAGCAAATAATTGTAACAACTACATTATTTTTTAGCAGTTCTGACACCTAAGCAGGGTAGCCTAGTGGTGTAGACTGAGGCTACTTTACGGTTGAACGTCGTGGGATACGGAGGTCCCGCGTTCGAGCCCCAGGTACGGAGTTGTTGATCATTGTCACTACGGACACCCGGTCCGAAGGTCCAACCGTTTACCGGCCCTTGGCATGGGTTGGTTCTCTGGCCGCTCTTGCCGGAGACAGATTGTGAGACTGTGGTTGGTTCCTCCACTAACGTGCTTTAGTAAACTCCGGGAGTCATATAGTATGGTAGCGGGCCCCCACCAAGGGCAGTAGTGGAACGACGCGAATCGGTCCCAGTATGGTTGCCTTGCAACTGAAGAGACTCGAGGAAATCATGCCATTCGCAGTGACCCAGAAAAGACTTTTGCTTCTTAATTTGACGTTTTAATTCATTTATTTACATACTTTATTCATATTACTTTCCAAGCAGTTATGATTTTTATTGGTCTGGTCAAATGAATGAACGAGGCATATATACTCCCCTCCATAAGTTTGGCAACCTTTTTTCTCCATTGAACTACGTGTTAAAGCCACTTTACGTTTGAATTTTAACCGGCGATGAAATAACTTATGATATTGATGGAAACGTAACTTGACTTTATTTCCAATACCTCCAAATTTTCTCAATTTTTTTCCTCAATTACAATAGGTCGAAAATTGATGATAAATTTGATGAATTTTTGAAAATCGTCTTATTTCAAGCCAAACTTTTGTTCAATTTATGTTATTATTCTATATTTTTTATAATTATAGTTACCAGTTAAAAATATTTTCCCAGGGAGTATTAACGACCATGATCGGACATGCCGGATACAATGCGAAAAACGTCCATGAAAATCAATTCAAATCAAAATCAAATTGAGAATCAGATGACCTGCTAAGTCTAGTATTGATTTGCCCCTAAATAGATATTAAAGGGGCGCTGAATATTGGACTGAGTTAATCAGCTGCATTTTAAACTGCCAATGGTACCTGTTACACTGCTGGGTTGAGTCTAACGAAGCATTTTTGTAACGAAGGTTAGCGAAAAAATTGTGTCCACACTGGCTTTATCCAACCCTAGTGTGCACATTACTCATCTGCCCCACCCACTTATTATGATTAATATCTTTTGATATAAACCATTGATCAAACTCAAAAATATAATTTTTAGTCTTTATTTTAACAATTCAGAAAAAGACTAGTTCAAAGTTCTCGGGAATATAAAACCAGATGAATGTGATCATTCCGTACACATGTCCATACATTTTTCCTATCATTTCGATTTTTATATATTTCAGCTGTCAATACGATTACAAGTATTGTTTTCATTTTCTATCATTTCCTTTGGAAATCATATGGAATAAAAATAGGCCTATGTTAATTACTAGGAGGAATTGGATTTGGGCTTTATACAGAGGACTAGTATGTAATATCGTATAAAAACGTTCAATTTCCAAATGGACTTCTCAGTTATATTCAAATAGTGTAGCCATTACTAAAATATCTCGGTGTTCGGCTGGTGGTTTAACTACTATTTTATGACTAATTCATTTTAATATGAATATTACCCGTTTCGCCAATATTCAATGTATATTTGAGTGAGTTTGACATAAATTAGTATGTTAATCCATCAGCCGTCCGTTGAATTCGAAAATGGCGCAAATAGGAAGTTGTAAGCATCGTCTTACGACACATCAATAGTGTTTGAGGCTGGCCTAAAACATGCAGCCTCTCTGTGGCAAATATCTGTCGACAAGAAACAATTTTGGCCACCGTTCCTTGTCCGCAGCTGGTTTTACCTACCCTGCGTGCAGGGTCTAGTTAAACTAGTTAAAGACGAAGCTCTCTTTTAAGAAGTAAAGTCAAACGAATGCAAAGGGTAGGTTTTACCGTATTTGAATAAGAAGTTTTGAAACATAATTTATTCAATATATTTAAACATGAAGTTTAAATTCAATTACAATTTAAAATCGTCGAAGAATAAAATAATGGAACGACTAGTACAAGTATTGCAATGGGGCGATAGCCAGTTGAATACGATTTCTTAAGAGAGACATTTTCGAATCAATCAAATCGGCTAAATTCCCTGATGTGATCAGTATCATGGTATAAGCACCTTTAGATTTACACTCAAGGTATAATTATTCGAGGCGCAAGAAAAAATTAATATTAAACATGTATGCCACAACTTTCTATTTAGTAAGCATATCTTATGTAATTTCAAAGGTTTACCCTTCCACACTTGAGACGGAGTTTTCCGAAAGAGGGACATTTAAATATTCTAGGTTTATTCTCTAATAGATCAGATAAACGTTTCAAAACTACCGTATACATATACGGTAAACCTGCGTTTTTTAGATTTAATACTTTTTGTCATATCAATGCGAGGTGAGGTAGGGAATCGAATGAAATGCTACGAAAGACGGTAAATCACATTTGTACGTGGCGTTTACAGGGCTTGAGTTAGCGTCAATCAGTGACGCAAATAGGTAATTATTTTAATCAAAACGTAGCATTATAATATACGTACTTAAAAACATGTTTTTTCCTCGCAATTCCTCTCATTTAATACAAAATGATGAATGTGCTCTTTATTACGCGCATGCGCAAACCGCCAACTAAGCATTTTCTAACGAAGCTACCTGTTACACTGGCCAAAAAAGCTTCGTTGGGACCTAACCTTCGTTGAATTTTCTACTCAATTGCTTCGTTATCAACTAAGCTTTTCTAACGAAGGCGAAGGTGTTACACTGGCCAAAAATTGCTTTTTGTCAAATTGCTTCATAACGAAGCATTTCAACTGGCCTGTGTAACAGGGGTCAATTAAAACATGTATTCAATGTTTCAAAATAATGAAACTGAAATATTGGGCAAAATAATTGATATTTCGTTTGTGGAATGAAAACTGATGATAGAGATAATATCAGTAGCCAAAAGCTATATAAGCAATTTAAACATGGAAATGATGCCAATTTAGAAGTATTATATGAAAAGAAATGTTTGTGAAATGGTTAGAAAATGAAATAACTTCAGAATTAATGGGATCATTGAGGCACACATTGATAAAAATCACACTTGGATT